TATATATATATATATATATATAAAGGATATATAAAAGGATCGACAATCGCATTCCATTTTGTATACTGAGCTTAATCAGGTACTACTTTTTTTTAAATTCCTTCTGATTGAAATGAAATCAGGTGTTTGAATATAATGGCGAGTTACCCGCCAGTCACTATACTACACACATACACATATGTGTGTAGGAGTTATTCGCCGGTCACAGTGCCACAAAGTATTGGCAAGTGCACTTGTCAGGTATACCCTTCACTGAAAAGGAAAGAGCTGGGATCGTCGCGAAGAAAAATTTCAATTTTTGTGCGTTGCTAAGAGTGATGATTTCAGCGACCACAGATAGCGAGAGAGAAGGAAAGTAGGACAAATGGCACATAGCTATGCTTCATACGGAACCGGGACCATTTCGATTGAGCACTCACAGCGCACTGTTTTAACAGTTTCGAGCTGTAGAAAAATTTGCTCTACATGTATACTCTATAAGTTCTCTGGTCAGTGGTTCTACGCTTAGTAGGGGCGGGAAAAACAGAATTTTCATAGTATTAGGTTAAACTTAGCTAATAAATTACTCATCGGATGTTAATCAGTTTTCTGAAGCCGGTAACGCCCGACTGCAAAGTTCTTGTTTTCTTTTTCGACTTACACAGCAATTTAAATCATCGATAGCGATTTTTTTTTATTTTTCGCGATTTTTGATTTAGAGGAGTAAAAATGATCGAGACTCGACTATATAATGATTGTAAATAATTGTATTTTATTCATAAGTATAAGAAATTAATTATGTTAAACATTTTGATTACTTAGCATATGACCGACCACATAACCTGGTTAGATCTTAAAAATTTATAATAATATAAATCATTTAATATATACAGATGTTTTATACAAACGATTAGGCTTACGGCTTTCTAAGTAAAATTGGTTGATCTTATAAAAAATATTTACAATCCAATAAAAGCTTAAAACTCATGTCTCAATTGAGTAGAAAAAAAATCAGTATAGACAGACATTAATAAAAACATATTAAAAAGTAATTCCTACATTCTGTTGTTAAGCCAAATGTTCTTTTAGACATTTCCCCCATATTTATTTTTAGTAGTCACATCGCAAGTGTTTCTTTAATTATCTTTTTCACTGCATTTCCCATTGAAGGTGCTGTTGACCCAGAGGTCGAATAATCAAATTTAAACAAATAGGGTTGTATATCTGGAAACGAGGTATCGAAAATTAGATCTAGCTCGCTTTGACTGGGAGTCTTAGGCACATAATCATGACGGTTCATTAATTCTGTAATGTATATAACTTTCTCAGTGAGTAGATCAGATACATTTTCGCGAGAAAGCTGTCGATCATCTTCGTTTTCGTGCTTAATTAAATCTAGATGTATTGTCCACACTTCCCAGGGAATAGACTCCTGTGTGAAAAGCCAGCGATTTTTCTTTTTCTGAAAAAATTCTAAGCTTATCTGACCAGAGCCACAGCTATCACTCGACCGCAATTTTTCGCTAAAAATATTGATAGCACGCTTTACTTTGCGTATGAGGCTTTCCGAAGTACAACAAACATAGGTAAAGTCAATAAAGTCACAATCAACATCAGAGTAACCCACGGTACCTATAGAATACTGTGCATCCCCAGTATACATATATTTACCAGAACAGCGATGAAATAATACTGTATGAAAAATGCTAGCCACCGCTTCATCCACCTGCCGACCTTCCATGGTAAGATCAAAAATCTGTGAACGTGCATTCATGTTAATATTACTTCTTATATTTAAGGAGACACTCCCTGGGAGCACTTCTTAATCTATACACCGTATGATATATATAATATATTATTTTTTTCTAAATTAACTTTATTTTTAAACTTAGCTCAATTGCTAAATGGTTTTCCTTGATGCAATATTTCAATAACACATGTAGTAGTTACCACTTACTTCTTAACACTTTTAACATAATTAATTGACTTAATATAAAATTATTGCGTTCTTCAGCTTGAAATTATAATTCATTGCAACAGTCTTGTGATGAAAATCTGGAGAGAAAAAAATATTTAAATAAATCGGATTCTACTGTATACATACACTAGTCGGTATGAGTATTTTGACGAAAAAGTTTTTTGACTATTAAAATTGGTTTTGCTCAGTAATGTTATAAGAACGAAAATTGTGATCAAAGCAAAGAATCCATGTATAAAAAATTTCATGCGGGTTACATTTTGCATGCTCTTCCTGCTGATAAGAATGCATGCAAGTATCAAATTTGTACGTGGCATAAGTATTTCGACTGAGTTTTTATGAAACAAAAAACGGCAGTAGATCTCGATTTTTAGAGAAAATCTCGATATGCGCCTGATATATACAGACATAGAAAACAAATTCAAGTCTCTGGCTCTTATATCCTCTGAGATCGACGCGTTTACATATACAGACGGACAGGCAGACTATCGGACAAGGTTAAATCGATACAGCTCGTTACACTGATCAAGAATATATATACTTTGTGGCGTCTGCCATGCCTCCTTCTGCTTGTTGCACACTTTTAACAAAACCATTATACCATTATTTCACATTTTCTATGGGTTAAGGGTGTAAAAAACTAGTTAATTTCATTAAGGAACCAGAAACAGATAAAAGCTTCTTGGAGTAGAACTCATATTGAAAACGAATTGTTTTGCCAGAATGTAAAATGCTTGTAGAGAAAAAGACCATGGTAGATGCTCATCCCCTAAGTTCTTGTTGTTGTTGAAAAAAGCCGAGGACTATGCCCAAAGTACACGAAAAATTTTTCGTAAATATATTTATGCCGACCAGTGTATATAATACTCACCAATAACAATTTTGGCAACTTTTACCCCAAATGGTAGGCTCTGTTATACATGTGCTTTTGTTAAACGTATACTCAGAACCTAAAAATGTGTAAAAATAAATTAATATATGTTATTATGCTAAAAATATAAACACGATAAAATACTTAACTTAAGAGCCAATGAATTGATACATTGAAATTTGTTCGCAATATATACATATTGTTTAATAATATAATTAATACCCTATTCTATATAGACAATTTTTTGTTTTATTAAAAAAGCATTTAAAAATACCGTAAAAATTGCTATAAAGTCTAGAAAGCTTGCTATGCCAATAATTTAGTTCGTCACTGTATGTATAACTCATACTTTAGGAAACAACTTACTTCTTTGTATACATATTCACCAATAGTGATTACATATAATAAACAACTTCATTGTACAAATAAAGTCACGGTGCCGTATCGAACTTCTACTTTGCCACTATCCAAATAATACATACACTAGACATGTAGAACAAATTTTTTCAACACTGAAAAATGTGGCTCGTGGGTTCGAACCAACTTCGTATTCGCTCAGCTCGGTATTTTTTGACTTGGGTAATGAAAGATAGTACGACGAAATCAGTGCGCTACAAAAACCCAAACAAAAAGGTTCCGCTCTATGCGATTTGCGTTTTTTGTCCTACTCTCTCTCTTTCACTGTATTTCTCTCATCTCGCACTTTCTCTGTATGGGCTCTCAAATCAACTAGCTTAGCAGCGTACAAAATTTTAAACTTGTTCGCGACGCACAGTGGAGCCTTTGCTCATTTTGCGTTACAAAAATCATAACTTTTAAACCAAGCAAGATATTTCAAACATTTAAAAAGCATTCGACAGAGAATTCTTCAA